CATGAAGATCTTTTTTGTATAGTTCTTCTGTGTATTCTTGCCACCTCTTCTTAATATCTTCTGCTTCTGTTAGGTCCATACTGCTTCTGTCCTTTATTGTGCTTATCTTTGCATGAAATGTTTCCTTGGTATCTCTAATTTTCTTGAAGAGATCTCTAGTCTTTCCCATTCTATTGTTTTTCTCTATTTCCTTGCACTGATCACCGAGGAAGGCTTTCTCATCTCTCCTTGCTATTCTTTGGAACTCTGCATTCAAATAGGTATATCTTTCCTTTTCTCCTTTGCCTTTCGATTCTTTTCTTTTCATATCTGTTTGTAAGGCCTCCTCAGACAACCATTTTGCCTTTTTGCATTTCTTTTTCTTGGGGATGGTCTTGATCACTGCCTCCTGTACAATGTCATGAATCTCCATCCATAGTTCTTCAGGCACTCTGTCTATTGGATCTAATCCATTGAATCTATTTCCCACTTCCACTGTATAGTCATAAGGGGTTTGATTTAGGTCATACCTGAATGGTCTAGTGGTTTTCCCTAGTTTCCTCAATTTAAGTCTGAATTTGGCAGTAAGGAGTTCATGATCTGAGCCACAGTCAGCTCCCGCTCTTGTTTTTGTTGACTGTAGAGCTTCTCCATCTTTGGCTGAAAAGAATGTAGTCAGTCTGATTTTGGTGTTGACCATCTGGTGATGTCCATGTGTAGAGTCTTCTCTTGTGTTGTTGGAAGAGGGTGTTTACTATGACCAGTGCATTCTCTTGGCAAGATTCTGTTAGCCTTTGCCCTGCTTCATTCTGTACTCCAAAGCCAAATTTGCCCATTACTCCAGGTATTTCTTGACTTCCTACTTTTGCATTCCACTCCCCTATAAGGAAAAGGACATCTTTTTTGGGTGTTAGTTCTAGAAGGTCTTGTAGGTCTTCACAGAATCATTCAACTTCAGCTTCTTCACCATTATTGGTCAGAGCATAGACTTGGATTACTGTGATATTGAATGGTTTGCTTTGGAAACAAACAGAGAGCATTTTGTTGTTTTTGAGATTGCATCCAAGAACTGCATTTTGGACTCTCTTGTTGACTATGATGGCTACTCCATTTCTTCTAAGGGATTCCTGCCCACAATAGTAGATATAATGGTCATCTGAGTTAAATTCACCCATTCCAGTCCATGTTAGTTCGCTGATTCCTAAAATGTCGATGTTCACTCTTGTCATCTCCTGTTTGACCAGTTCCAATTTTCCTTGAATCACGGACCTAACATTCCAGGTTCCTATGCAATATTGCTCTTTACAGCATCGGACTTTACTTCCATCACCAGTCACATACATAACTGGGTGTTGTTTTTGCTTTGGTTCTATCTCTTCATTCTTTCTGGAGTTAGATCCACTGATCTCCAGTAGCATATGGGGCATCTACTGACCTGGGGAGTTCATCTTTCAGTGTCCTATCTTTTTGCCTTTTCATACTGTTCATGAGGTTCTCAAGGCAAGAATATTGAAGTGGTTTGCCATTCCCTTCTCCAATGGACCATGTTTTGTCAGAACTCTCAACCATGACCTGTCCATCTTGGGTGGCCCTACGTGGCATGGCTCATAGTTTAATTGAGTTAGACAAGGCTGTGGTCCATGTGATCAGATTGGTTAGTTTTCTGTGATTGTGGTTTTCAGTCTATCTGCCCTCTGTTGGAGAAAGATAAGAGGCTTATGGAAGCCTCTTGATGGGAGAGACTGACTGAGGGGGAAAATGGGTCTTGTTCTGATGGCCAGGGCTATGCTCAGTAAATCTTTAATTCAATTTTCTGTTGAAGGGTGGGGCTGTGTTCCCTCCCAGTTATTTGACCTGAGGCCAAACTGTGGTGGAGGTAATGAAGATAATAGCGACCTCCTTCAAAAGGTCCCATGGATGCACTACTACATTCAGTGCCCCCAGCCCTGCAGCAGGCCACCACTATCCCACGCCTCCGTTAGAGACTCCTGGACACTCACGGGCAAGTTTGGGTCAGTCTCTTGTGGGGTCACTGCTCCTTTCTCCAGGGTTCTGGTGCGCACAAGGTTCTTTTTGTGCCCTCCCAGAGTCTGCTTCCCCAGTCCTGTGTAAGTTCTGGAGGCTCTGTGGTGGGTTAATGGCGACCTCCTCCAAGAGGGCTTATGCCATACCCCAGTCTACTGCACCCAGAGCCCCTGTCCCTGCAGCTGTCCACTGCTGACCCATACCTCCTCAGGAGACACCCAAACACAGGTCTGTCTCAGTCTCTATTGGGTCTCTGGGTCCTGGTGCGCACAAGGTATGTTTGAGCCCTCTGAGAGTCTCTGGCGGGTATGGGGTTTGATTCTAAAGGTGATTTCGCCCTGCCTACCATCTTGCTGGGGCTTCTCCTTTGCCCTTTGGATGACAAGAGGGAATGAACCAATTTCATGTTGCAGCTAAGCAGTTTTATAGCTTACACAGTCCCATCTCTGTAAGTTTTCTATCTTGTAGGTTAGGTAGGATATAATTCTAATCCAGGAAAGAAATCAGAATCAGAATTAAAATTAGAAGAAAGAGGGGGAAAAGACAGAATCAAGATAGAAATAGTGAAGAGATAAATTTTGGAGTTGGTCTTCTGAGGTTTTTAAAAAATTTTTTTCCTGAAAGAGTAATGGTCAGTGTTATGATCATTATAATACTAGTATGTATCTGCTTTCTGAGGTTGTTGTTCAGTCGTTCAGTCATGTCTGATTCTTTGCAACCCCATGGACTTCTCTGTCCTTCATTATCTCCCTGAGTTTGCTCAAACTCGTGTCCAATGAGTCAGTGATGCCATCCAACCATCTCATCTTCTGTTGCCCCACCTTTCCTCTTGCCCTCAATCTTTCCCAGCATCAGGATCTTTTTGAATGAGTCAGTTCTTCGCATCAGGTGGCCAAAGTATTGGAGCTTCAGCTTCAGCATCAGTCCTTCCAAAGAATATTCAGGGTTGATTTCCTTTAGGATTGACTGGTTTGATCTCCCTGCAGTCCAGAGAACTCTCAAGAGTCTTTTCTGAAATTAATAGGCTTTGATTTATTAGTTGTATGAGGAGTAGATGATTTTATTTTTATTTAATTTTTAAAATTATTTATTTATTTTTGGCCATACCAGCTGGCATGTTGGGTCTTAGTTCCCTGATCAGAAGTCTAACCCACACCCCCTGCACTGGAAGCATGGAGTTTTAACCTCTGGACCACCAGGGAAATCCCAAGAGTAGACTATTTAAAAGAAATATTGATCATTAAAATATTAGCATTGTGATCTTTTAGTGAAGTTCAAATAGTGTAGAGCTTTCTTTCTTCAGTTGTCCCTGGGGAAATTAAACTGACAAAAGTAACCTGGGGAGCTCCTCACATGTCAGGATTTAGGACTTTTTGAAAGACAGGAGCTGTGACCTGTAATCATGCTTCTGCTGAGAAGCCAAGCTAGTTCCAAGCTGAGTCATAAACAAGGAAAACAATCATTACCTTGACCTTGAAGAGCTTTGGGTGCCCTCTGCCCAACACCCAAGACACACATATGCTCTGGCCGACATGTTTTCAATTACCACCTACATCAACTAGATCTACATTTGTTCCCACATCTCTTTCTAAACTACAATCCTACACTTCCAACTCACAACTCCTAATTCACAAGTCGATGCCTCATATGTGTCTCAGAGTCACATATGTTAAAACTCAACACACCAGCGAGTTCCCTATCAGCATCACACACCACCCTCTGCCTCAACACTATGGTCAGACCCAGGTACAGCACGTTACATATGTCCTATGTTTCAACTGATCACTAAAACAATGCCCAGACCTCTTCCCATCCCTGCCTGGTACATTTACCCTCACCACCATCCAGCTTGTTGCCCATGCTAGATCTTGCTATCCTTTTTGGATAAACTCTCTCATCCCCCCAGCACAGAAGTTTATTTCTAGTATAATTAACAAACAGTGCTTAAATTTATTGGATTCTCTACAGACTCACTTCTGCTTCATTACTATACCCTTTCTCTATCACCTCTTACC